CGCATTCAAGTCAGCAGAAACCGAGTCTCGCAACTTGAGTCTCTGAGAAATCTGCCAACCATGGCTTTCAGTCACAGGAGATCCTCTCGACGTCGACCAGCAAGGCATGATCCCAGATCAGACAATCAGGAGGTTCAACCCTCCACAGGACTTAGTAGTGGAGAGAACCTCTCTGAATCCCAGAACCCAGCAACTCCAGTCGACATATTGCAATGCAGCGATATTTCAAATTTAAAAGAGAAATTTCGGCAATACTGGAAGTTCTTTCACATGTGGCTGCAGCCAGAGAATCACAGCAAGGAGGAAATGATTTCCATCATAGTTCTGGAGCAATTTATGAGGGAAAGGCACTGCCAAGACAGGCCTGCTTTGAGGGAGAAATGGAATTCAAATAGTAGAAACATGAACAAATTCATGGAAGACCTAAACAATCATCTCTCACAGCCAGCTGGTTATGTCCACGTCAAGATGCAGGGACAGGAACTCCGGGTTTCAGAAGATGCTACTTTAGATGATGTCATTGCTGCCTTCAAAAATAAACAGTCTGCAGAGACTCTAAGAGAAAATAATTCGGGGATTCCCTTCCAGACTCCTGAAGATCTTCCTGCACAAACAGGACAAGGAGAATATGATGATGACAATGGTGCAGTTTCTCAGGTGACCACCCAAGAAAACAACAGTACCAGTACAGACAACCAAGAACTTGTTCTACGTATAATCCCAGAAGAAAGTGTGCCCACATTTGAAGCGGGAGGTTCTGTTGCAGACAATCCAGAAGATGCCAGAAGAGCTGATGCAGGCACCCAGACAGCTCTGGAACAACCCCTAGGAAAAGGCCCTCAAGATAGTAACACAAAAGTTGAAAATGAAAGTTGTTCAAGTCAGGAAGTTGACTCAACAACTCCTGAGCCTCCCTCTGCTCACCAGAGTAATCAGGGACAACCCTCACCTGGGGAACACAAAGAAAGAGTTCCAGAATCCTCAAAATCACTCAAATGTGAGGAATGCCACAGGGTCTTCACATATCCCTCTCAGTTAAAATACCACAAAAGACGTCACAAGAACGAGAGGCCCTATGTTTGTACCACGTGCCCGAAAAGCTTCTTCCAGAAATCAGACCTGACAGTGCACCTGGTGACTCACAAGAGTGAGAAGCCTCTCAAATGCAGCTTCTGTGACAAAGCCTTCAGCCACAGAACCAACTGGCTGTCTCACGAGCGGATCCACACAGGAGCCAAGCCCTACAGGTGCTCTGATTGTGGAAAGTGTTTCCGCCAGTCATCCACATTCCGTCGCCATGAGAGGACTCACCAGCGTTAACTCAGAAGTGTCCCCAACAGTCCAGAGGATCCCTGACCTGATTCTGACTCTGAAAACTCTATGAACTTTAAGGAAAGACAGTGGTGATAGAAAGGCTTCAGGTTTTTGTTCGTAGGGTCTCTATGAGTCATGCTGAACAACAACATGCAATCAACAGCAACAATACCCTTTCTTTAGGATTATGCTTATTTCTTCACTGTACTAGAAAAAGTATAAAGAAGGTAAAGAATCTGTTTTATTTAGTAGAGAACACCAAAAATTATTTTCGAAAACTGACTGTGACATTTTTCAACTAATAAACATCTATTGAACAAAAAAAAGTAAACTAGAGGTTTGTTTTTTTTAACCCAAAAGTTATTTCTTACTGTTAAATATTTCTCAACTGTGTGATGAGTACCAGCATTGTAATTTTTGCATCATTGCACTAATTTGAAGAGAAAAACCAAAATCTATGCCATACTGAGATCCATAATTTCCTGAACTCTAGAGAAGAGGAGGCTATCACCTGAGTCACCAGAGATGGATACATATGGTGACACAGGTGACTCCTGATCTGCAAACCGATTACCTCCTCTGGCACCTCTCCTGCTCCACTCTAACAATAGTTCTTGATCCCAAAGCCTTAGATGCATGGAAGGCTTACATAAGGCATTACAGCTGCCTAAGTAATTCCAGATGTTCTGCAAAGCTATTATTACTGAGTAATTTATGCTATTGGTATTTAGAAAACAAGTGAAATATGATCCTACATGGAAAGGCTCATAGCTTGGAGAAACACCTCTTTGTTTCTGTATTTTTTTTTCCCTTTAAACACCAACATTGAAAGCATACCTTAAGTTAAAAAGAGATCTTTTGTTTCCCCATTCGCAGTGTGGTTAACTGTACTGAAATGTAAGGCGGTCCAATCTGCATGATGGAGACCCGCTGGAGGAATGTTCAGAAATGAGGGGTGGCCCAGCTACCACAATCTAAATTCTTCCGCTCTAGGGCTGGAGTCAGTAAACAGCCAAGAACAGCATTTTCTGAGGTCAAGTGGGGGCTGCCTCTAACCCCTTTAGGAATTCCTAGACACTGAAAAGGTGAGATGTCTGGAAATTTCTTTTGTCATATTCTTAGGCTAGCAACATTTAACTTTTTTTTTAATCCCTTCTTATTAAGCCCACGATGGCTGTAAATCATGTCTGTTAAGTGTTTTGATTCTGCAGCTTTTAATTAAGTGCCTGTGCAATTGACATCAAAGCTTGAAAAACTTCTTTATCTCATTAAAACTGTTTTACCTAGTTATACCCAGAAGGGAAGTTGGAAATGTCAGTTGTCATGTATTTTGCAAAGGCACTGGACTGCACATGGAACAATTCTGATGCCAGCTGCAAGCTCCCTTCTGTGATATCAAGGGCGTACGGGAGTATTCTAATAATAAGGCACTATTAGCTCAGGATAAAAGGCTGAAGGGCTCCATTGACATTCATTAAGAGTTCCTAATTAGAGAGTGAATAACTGCTCTTTAATGGGAAATGGAGGGAGGAGGCCTGAGAACCAGCAAGGAACAGAGTGAACTCTTCACTCCCTCAATGCTGGAGGGAGAGTGCAAGAACTTTAAAATTTAAAGTTAATGCTAATGGGCTGAATAAAAATAAAGCTGCTTATTACACCGATGAGTTATTTTCTTTCCCCTTAGAATAAGCGCGGGGGAGGGAGGAGGTGCAGAGAAGGAGACGGCAGACAGATGCTGTGGTTCTGTAGGAATCTGAGGGGTGATGTTTTTACAAAATCTCATGATTTAATTATGACAAGCTTACGGGGAGAACCTTTGCCATCCATCCCACTGTGCGCAGCACACAGAAAGGAAGGAGGATCCTACAACACGTTGAACCGGCTGGCGGGTGGGACGCTGGGGAGGGTGCAGAGAAATGTGAATTTAATCTCCACTCTTGGCATCTTTAAATTCATACTTTCGGCTAAATTAGTCACACGCAGGCTTTATTTAAACACTGTTCGTTGGTCGCTTCCCCCCGCCCAGTCCTTTTTCATATTCCCTCCCCCTGCCGTGATGTCAGGCATGTTAAAACACAACTAATACAGAGTGATAAGCTGCTTTGCGATTTAGATCTGTCTGGCTCAGCCAGCAGAACATTTGATTAAAATAAAGCATACTTAGTTCTATACGCTCGGACGGTTTCACAATCCTCGAGAAACCCGATTTCTAGTAAAGTAGCGTAGGGGCCAAAGCAACAGCCTGCCAGCGCGGCGCGTAAGAGCAAGAAAAAGGAGACGGCGGCGGCAGAGCATCTAAGAGCGCGCTCAGAAACCCCGGGTCCCCGGCGCAGGGCAGCCAGGGAGGGCGGCTAATCGGAACTGAAGGAAAAGAAAACAAGCGTGAGTCAAATTGACAAAGAAAAATAGCAAGCTTCTCAAAATAACCTCGAGCACATTCGTTTCTTCCTTGGGTTCCAAACCTGGGGGAAATCGCTCATTTCCTGGGGCTTTGAATCTAATCAAGCGCTTCTAAAAAGGGAGGACACAGAAGCAGCCAGCATGTCAATCTGGTATCAGTCCCTAAGTCAAAGATAGGTCTCAAAAAGAGGCAGTGGAAAGGAAATGCCCCTAAACCATTCCCCTTTGGAATAAGGGAAGAGCCGGGATGGCCTGATGCCAAGCGAAAATATGGCAACAGGCACTCGGACTGCATTCAATAGGGAAAGAAGCACCCCTGTGCCTTCACAGACGCGAGCTGCAGTGACAGTGGCTTTGGGAGCCCGCTCCGGCCCTATCCCTGTGTCTGGCCAAGGGGCGAAGCCTGGGCCGGCTCCTTGCGCTTACCTTCCAGCTTCCTGAAGCGCCGCGCCCGCGGGGGAAAGCGCTCCTGGCGCCGACACCACCCGCGCGCAGAGTCCCGAGCCGGTTGGGAGCCAACCTGGCGCGCGGCCTCTGAGCATGCCCAGCGACCAGCGTGTTTCGGGTTCACTCCACTTCTCCAGGTTTTAGCTCCGGCTAAAGGGGTGGAGGGAGCGTGGAGGGGTGGGGGCTGATGGAGTCTTAAACCTGGGGTTCTAGAGGAAGGGTGGGGGTGCGTAATCCGGCGGCCGGGAAGCAGATCTGGAGGTGGCAGCGGTGGCGCGCGCTTCCCGCCGGCGGCTTCCCGCCGCAGGGATTAGCATTCATTGCAGGCCGCCGGCGGGCTTCAGCGCTGGGAACGCGCCTCTCTGCGGAGTCCACAGCCTGTCTCCTCAGAAGCAGTAGCCACAGGGTAGAGATTGCATTGTTCTCCAGGCCCTATGCTCACATTATTTCATTCCTAACTGCCATCAACAGAGCCTCAATTTATGGAGAAGGACACTGAGATTAAGTCTGGGCGCAAATGGGATCCGGGCCCACCTGTGGGGTTGCCGCTACCGCGATCATCACCACCCAGAAGCTTCTTAGGATGTAGGAGCAGGCATGCCAGAGAGGGCAGTGTTCCTGAGAACCACTGTAAAGCAAGCGCCTGGGGGAAGTTGAGGAGATGCCATCACCCACCCCAAAATTAAAGCCTTTTCAGACTCGAAGTCCCTCAGAGCTTTCTTTATCCTCTTCTCCGGTGACACGCTACTGCCTTCCTCTGCTTAGGGTGGGTGCCATCCAGTAGTTTACAGGTTTGCGCCTCTCTCACCCCCACCCCCTGGCAGGCACTTTAACCTTCCGCTGGTGGTCTCCGGTTGCGCATGCGTCTGCGCGCCCGGCGGCGGGGGGCACCTTCCCGCGCACCTGTCTGAATGCTGTGAGGTGGGGCCCAGCACCCTTACTTCCTCCCCACAGCATCTAAACGCTGCTAGGGTCTCCAGAATGGCCAGAGCCAAGCATGGTGTGTCCATGGTCCTGCAGTTCTTACCTCACAAATCTCTCCAAAATAACACTTTCCTGGCACCTCTTCCCAGCAAGGCCGGGGTCCAGAGTCGAGGCTCAAGCACTCACCAGTGCGTCCCAGGGGCCCGGATGGAAGGGCTGCAGCAGTAGCGGGAACTGTCAGCCTGGGAGCCAGGCGGCTCTGGGAGACAGCGAGTGTATGGCCTTCAAATCCAGCGCCCCCGTGCCTCAATGCTGACAACCACTCAGAGACCGGGGGAGGCAGGGCCTCTGACAGCTTCCCCCGCTTAATGCACCCCATGCAAATGGCCGCGCTGCTTCCAAAGCTCAACCCTACGCCTTTATGATGCACACTGATTCAGATGTTTAGATGAAAGGAGGCTGAGATTTCCTTTGTTTAATTCCACCTACTTAGTGTACACATTCATAGACGCTAGCACACACTTGGGTTTCAAGGCTTCACACACACCCACACACCCCATTTATTGCACCTTCCACTCACTTAACCCTTTAGAGTTTCCAAAAAGATGATGTGGGCTTCAAGGTATTAAGGGAGCACCACTCCTTAGAATTTCATAACCTCTGGACAGAATGGTCTTCGTGAGAGGGAAGACACTGTGAACTAAATGTTGGTCTGTACGATACAAGTAGTCAATATGCAATTTTTATTTCAGTCTTCCAAACTTTGAAAAAGCTGGAGGAACACAGTGTCCTTCAAGTGTGCGGTCACTTAGTGACAGCTGGCCTGAGGACCCAGGTCCAGTGACGAAACCAAGACTTCTAGTCGCATGTAGTCTGTATGGAACTGATTCAGATCTACCCACTCATCAGGAAAGGAAAGATGGGCAGTCTCCTTCCAGGCGATTTACAGCCTCAGAAATCCAATGAAGATTCACATATGAGTAGATTCAGACTCGACTGCAATGAGAGTGAACTTCTACTACTGACAGCGCTTCTTTAAGCTTCGAGACAGAGAATTTACTGTTTATATATTTTCTTCTTCAAAGAAGATTTCTCAATCATGCCAAGCTACTCTTGGCTGCTAACTGAAAAGCTGGCATTGGAGGTCCGTCTAGTCCCTGAGTGCAGGGAGGTGCGTGTGTGTGTGTGTGTGTGTGTGTGTGTGTGTGTGTGTGTGGTCAGCTTCCATAAAGATT